GTATCTAATTATACCATATTATACGGCTTATGACACTGCAATTATGGCTGGAGTTTGTAGACACTATTATAGTTATACTGCTGTAGCCGCTGGAATTACCTGAATGTGTAATTTGCATATTGGGCATTCTTTCTTGCCTCAATACACGCGATGGATCTGCCAGAAACGTGTGTGTTTGCCAGTACAAGCAAGTATCTCATTCATGATAATTAATCTCACCCAAGAAATGATAAAGTTCATATTATTCTAGCTACATTTGTTTGTTTTAGATTTTCGGCTCAAAGCTACACCAGGGTTAACTGCTCATTGCTGTTCCAAAATTTGAGCCAATAGACTAGAGCGTAAGCCAGCTAACTTATAGTACTTGCCTCCTATCTCTTGAGCTACTCTTTTTACCACCGAATTTGAACGCCACTCTTATAGCACACGCAGACACGACCTTACAGCGTGGCCAACATTAACCACTGGACAGCGTCTAGGCCTATCTGTATCTAGATAATGTACCATCAATAAATAATATATTTTAATCTATAATGAAGTATTTACTGCAAAGCATTCCTTTTATGATAATAAAATAGGCTAACGTTTAAGAACGTTATTTTTCCCTGACTACACATGTTGTGATGAATATTAAGTTCAACAGACTAGAAAACAGTAAACAACTATATATTTATAATACAATTATCAGTACGTATAGATGAATACAGGGAGATAATGTATTTTCTGAAGGCTTATCTTGTTAGTTAATTATAAATTATAATTAATAAAACTTATGAAGTAAGGCACGTGATTCGTGTTTTAATGTTTATAGTTTATTAAATTAAATATTAAAATTCTTATAACTAATTTGTTTATTTACTTTCAACGTTCCACTGGCATTTGTGACAACCCTATAATGTAACGTTAGTACAACGTCGCATTTAGGAAAACAGCAGTGTTTTATTCCGTATTTCATGGGCTGAGCATGGATAGCGTGTTGTGATAAGGGTTAATAATGGAAGGTTCGAGACATGATTTCTTCTAAACATGTTCCGAACTTTCAGCTGTCGATATGACATAAAAGTGACAGTCAACTCCATTTTTGATTCAAAGAGTCGGACAAAGTCTTTGTGGCGGCGGATGTTGCTTGCTAGCTGCCCTTCCTCTGGCCATTAGTTCAAAATTATGAATGACTAGCGGACCTCTGATAGGCTGTTTAACTCACGTACACATAAGGTGTCGTTCAGGTTGAAAATTTCAGTTCCATACTTGGTTTATTACAACATTTCATGAAAAACTTAACCGTTAAACGTTTGGTGTGGTTTGTTATAAATTTCGCGCAAAGCTACACGAGGGCTATCTGCGCTAGCCGTCCCTAATTTAGCTGTGTAAGACTAGAGGGAAGTCAGCTAGTCATCACCACCCACCGCCAACTCTTGGGTTACTCTTTTAACAACAAATAGTTGGATTGACCGTCACATTATAATGCTCCCACGGCTGAAAGGGCGAGCGTGTTTGGTGTGACGGGGATTCGAACCCTCAGATTGCGAGTCGAGCACCCTAACCATCTGGCCATGCTGAGCTAACCGATAAACGTGGATAGAGATATTAATTTTTATAGGCTCGTGACATTAAAAAATGCACTTTAAAGTTATTGTAAAAGTTAACCAAGTTTTTTTACTCTTTAAGTGAACAAAATAATAATACTTTATACAAATGTTAATAAGATGTTCTACAGGTTGAACTATGATAAAAATCGTTTCTCTTCAAGTTAGATTGTAAATTATTCTGCCTTAGATAAGTTAAAAATAAAAATGCAACAATTATAATTTTCTATTTATGACGCTCTTCGAGACTTTGTCGACAATCAACATTGATGTTCCATGGCTAAGTAGACATTCCCTGCTTCATTAGTTCCTGTCACATTAAATACCATACTGAAGACGAAGCACGTCGCCCTACTCACGACAAGAAAAAAAAATGTTATTTTTATCTTCTTGGAAAAATATAGACAGAAATGACAACACAAATTATCTCTTGAAAAAGAAAAGAAGAAAGGAGTGACAAGAAAGCGATAATTCAAAGCTGTCATTTCCAAAAACACATCTACTGCTAGGCAGTCTTTCATCTTAAAGGATTTCCGACATGATAATTTGTAAGAAAATTTTTTTACGTATATATATATGTATAAATAGAGTTGATTGACTGTGACGTAGTCGTTACGCATGGCATTTCGATTCAGAACAATTATATATCAGTCTAAAGCATAAATATATCGAGATTTTTATCATCGTTTCTGTTTATAAAACCCTAATAAAAATAATATAGATAATAGAACGATGAAATACAGTTACTTTCATAACTTCTAAAACAAGAACGTCAACATGTTAATTAAGATGTAAATAATATTATATAGTATCTATCACTGAAGGTATTTCAGCAGTACTAATCAGCCATCGGTATATGAAATTTAGCGTACGTTAGTTCTTTAGGTGAAAGTTGTATATTTCGAAACGTTTACCATTTATTTATTTTTCTTTATTGTGGTTATAACCGTTTCTTTATATTTTCATACGTTGTCACACTACATGTTTTAAAATGTTAATCGTAAAAAGTTGAAAGAGATGAAAACTAATCATAATATTCTATACACTATATATCAATCAAAGAACTAGAAACTTAATATGATTAAGGTTGCACTGGATGTGTGTGTCTGTTGTATATCAAAGCTACATTTGGTATTTTGTTTGCTCATCGGCGGGAATCGAACCCCTGATTTTACCTTTGCACGTCCGCAGACCAACCATTGTCCTAAATTGCACTGGAATATAAGTTGTGCAGCCTTATTGTTACCGGTATTGTTCGTTTGTTTGTAATTAAGCACAAAGCTACACAACGGGCTATTTATGCTCTGCCCACCACAGGTATCGAAACCCGGATTCTAGTGTTATAAGTCCGCAGACATACCGCTGTGCCACTGGAGGTGCGTTACTGGTATTATTCGTCATAAATCCAAACATATTAAACGTTGTTCAATAAGATTAGAGTATTTAGGTCAGCCGTAATTCCCTGCACTAAGCGAACGAAACAAATTACTGCGTACAAAAACAATTAGAACTTTCAAATATTTCCAGTAAATTTAGATATATAAATGTAATGTTCAACATTACAGTCATTATAATTTAAATAAATTATAACCGTAATAAGGATGTGGAAAATGGTTATTGTCTCTAATATAGCACGTGAAACTCGAAAAGCATCGAGCTTATTATTATAAGGTGAACATTGGCATTAATGATAAAAACCTATATAAAATACTAAGTTCAACGCCTCACTAGGTTTGATATTCGTATACAGGGTTGTTTTATACTGATGGCATTCCAAGTCTTTCTTGAATTCAGTTTTGTTCGGTCTTTCGATTTCAAAACAAATAAATGCGGGTTGTCAGTTTTTAAATACGTTTGACGTTAGAATTTACGGGTTTACTTCAGACTCCTCGGAAACTTGCAAATCAGACGGAAACAAATGTATTATTACTTCCTGAGAATTTCCATCACCAGTAAATGTCCTGAATGACTAGAAGTTAAAGACATTTGCTTCTTATAGGATAAACAATAAAGACATAACTGTACGCTAACATGCGTATGCCAGATATTTGTTCCTGGTAGTAGATTAAAAAGATTGAATAGAAGCAAATAAATCTATTTACATCTATTAAGTTTTTCTCAACCTAGCATTATTTAATGTAGGTCAAGGACTGGTTGTTGTAGATTCGGTTCGATGTGAAATATACTAATTTTCCAGCTGTGCAGAGCGCATTTACCAATGACTTGGGTAAGAATGGTTCAAGGCTCACAATAACTCATTAGTCAATTCTCAAAGAACTAAGACAATCTTGACGAATAAAGAAAATTTTGAATGTAATATATTAGCATCATTAATGGTAATTTAAGATGTAGTTGAACTGGACTTAGGAAACGAAAGTATTGACTAAATAATTACAAATTTAAGCATCGAAAATATAAATATAAAGACAAAAACTGTCGAGGAAACAAAAGTGTAATATTTGTAATATCGCTATCATTCTTTGAAAAAGATCAAATGCAAGTAAATCCTATAACCTTTCGTACGTTACTAACAGTACCATACACAATACAAATATTTTATATTCGGGTTCTATTTATGAGCAGTATGTTTTAAAAAGTACACTTTTAATAGAAACTGATTATGTGAATATTAAGTAAAATTGTAGTTAAAGTGTGTTATTTTGGATTTAAAAAATATTTTCATACCTATACGTGTTTTGTTTTCGAAAGAATATATTATCAAAATTGAATACAATATACAGTCTTCAGCTCTGAAGAAACAAAACAAAAATTTTAATGACAAATTTAACGCGCTATCCTCTTCAGTTGAAAAATTTTAAATAATTGACAGCTAATTGATTCATTCTCTAGTTGCTTGAGGTACGCGACAGTTAAAAAATATATCGTGACCTGTGTGACCTGGTGGTTAGAGTGCTCGAATCCCAACATCGTTCTTTCATCCGTGGTGGCGACATGATGTGACTGGCTGCCTTCCCTATGACACTTCTAAATTGTGGACGGCTGGTTCAGACAGCCCTCGAGTAGTATTGCGCAAAATTCAACAAACAAACAACAGCAACCTGTGAACAACGTTTTTTCAGATGAAGATCTTTTATCAATATACAAGCTAAAGTACCCGTCCCCAGTGACGGAAAAAGTTTAAGTTAACCTATCAATTTGAATTATTTCATTGACTTTAAAAAGCCAAAGCGCTAAGCTACTTATATCACCCACCACAAAAAGTAATTGTTGAGCATTTCAGTCATGGTAAGAGCGGCTCCACAATAACATACAGTAAATCTACATTTTTATTCTTTAAGTTACGTCACATTTAGAAATATAAATGATAGTGTGATTAATTCCTAACAATTTAGTGTAGAATATCCTGCTTGTGAAATAAAATTTGGTATCAACATTATTCATGCCTGTTCTCCCGTCATTTTAAAAGTGAATGTTGAGCTTTGCCTGCGTGCGCAGCTTTTCAAACGGGAGACAGATGAATGCTCGGACAGACAACACGGTTAGCAATATATATAAGATTGCGTACTGTTGCTTTGGACATGTGAACGTATCTTACCACACATTTGTAATCGTGGATGCTACTCTGTTATAAGACGCCGCACTTTGATTACCATAATTTTAAGTAATATAGTTTGAACATTATTTTTGATTAGCTATGCTCATTACTAAGTATATATTTTAGTTCTGATCTAATATCTAGGTAGCTTGATTTCATTAGAAAGTAATATTAATGGATGGCACACGACTTATTGCAGGTCTCTTTCTGGATCTTCATGGTGCCTCAAGTTGATCCATATTCCTTTGTTTCCACTTCTTTTAAGTACAAGGGATATCCCCGTCTTGGAAATTGTAAATCCCCGATCTGAATGCATCTTTGAAATCTTAATGTACAAATATTTTACGTGTAAAAGGGCTACCACACATACCCTTCCCAAAGCAATTAATTTTCGGTAGCGTCAGATTATAAATTAAATGTCAAGTAATTTCAAAATGTAGCTCTGATTCATACCGTTCCACTGCAACCATCTATCGGCTGTGATTGTCACATTGTTTGCTGATTTACATAATTAAAATCGTTTTAGTAGAACATACTCAACCTCATGTGTACTCAAGTATCGTATAATGAAAGCTGAAAGACCTGGTTAATGAGATAAAAAACAACAATATAATGTTTTTCATGATTGCTCTTACACTTATATATGCTATACCTAAAGCGAAGATTAAAATAAGTTAGTTAGATCAAACTCTAATTGACAAAACATCTTTGCCGATAATGATATATATATACATATACCATTGACAATAACAGCACACATATATATAAATAATCCAAAGATATTATCATTTGGGACTTTAAAAAATCGTGTTTTTGTAAAGGAAAAATGTGTACTTAGAAATTATTAATACTTAGTGTTTGAAAATATGGGTGTGAAATATTAAATGAAGCTCTGAAAGAAAGTCTATTCTCTATTCTTAACCTTGTCATTTTAGGTTTCCTCGCTTGACCCAATTAAAAATTTGAAGTGTGAATGCTGAGTTATTCCCTCTTTGTTTACTTTTATTGCCTAATAAAACTTTCTAAAAATAAGTCAAAATCAAAAGCAACAACTTCTGGTCACTGTAGCTAAAGCTGTCCAGTTCTAATTATTTCATAATGTTCTGTATTTTGTTTCCAAAATCAAAAGCAACAACTTCTGGTCAATGTAGCTAAAGTTTTCCAGTTCTAATTATTTCATAATGTTCAGTATTTTGTTTCCAAACTCAAAAGCAACAACTTCTGGTCACTGTAACTAAAGCTGTCCAGTTCTAATTATTTCATAATTTTCAGTATTTTGTTTCCAAAATCAAAAGCAACAACTTCTGGTCACTGTAGCTAAAGTTTTTCAGTTCTAATTATTTTTTAATGTTCAGTATTTTGTTTCCAAAATCAAAAGCAACAACTTCTGGTCACTGTAGCTAAAGCTGTCCAGTTCTAATTATTTCATAATGTTCAGTATTTTGTTTCCAAAATCAAAAGCAACAACTTCTGGTCACTGTAGCTAAAGCTAACCAGTTCTAATTATTTTTTAATGTTAAGAATTTTGTTTGCAAGCAGATAGTAAAGTTAGGTACTTTAGATCTTGTATAGATCCTAAATAAGTAATCTCGTGGCCATAACTACTCTAAATATGTCTCAGTAGCGTTTCATTACACTAATGATGATGATTCTTTTTCTTTGTCATACGAGTAGCCAAAAGGGATCATTTAATTCATCTACTATATGCAAGCTGATGATGTGTAATCAGTTTATAATGTTTTAGTTCTGAGATGACGTATTTCAAGTCTCAGTTGGAGTATTTCGAAGCCTGAGTTGGAGTATTTCGAAGCCTGAGATGGAGTATTTCGAAGCCTGAGATGAAGTATTTCGAAGCCTGAGATGAGGCCTTTTACATATGAGACGGCATATCTAACGTTCACGTGGGATGTTATAAATCTGAGAAGCAATAAGATGATTCTCAGAGGAAGAAATTTAAACAATCTTTTAACGCACCTTTTACTGTACTCTTGATAGCCCATAATGTATCTGAAGTAAATACAGTCAGCACGAAGATGTACCATTAAAATCGCGTGTAAGAAGGATAATTTCTTTAGTATTAAGATTCCATTGGTTTAATGCATTCTTTTATAAGAAAAGCACCTAAGGACGACACGCCTTACATTAGTTTTCTACATATTTAAGCAACTGGCCACTGATAAACATTGTCAAGCGTTCAAGACAGATGAATGTTAAATAATAGATCCAAAACAACACCGACTTTTTATATATCTTAAAATCAAAGACAGTTAATTTGAAAATAACCTTTTGTTTTCAGATTGCAAATATCAGGTTTTAATGTTGTTTATTTACCATTCAATTTTACAAGTGTCTAATAAAAATATGTTTATAATAAAACAAAATGATAACTAAGATTTATAGATGTACAATTATAAGCGAAGTGATATTTTTAACAGTAGTTTCTGTTTTTTAAATCATATATTGTTTGTTAAGTTTTGTATGAAAGACATTACGAGAAAGTTAGAAAATTGGACGTCATGCCGAAAGAATAGTGTTTTATTTCTTCAAGTCAACTTAATCTGGCAAAGTGTGGGTTGTCGTTACTAAACCAAACTGAAGTTTGCTTTCTCATAGAGAAGAAGTTAAAAAAACACAAACAAAAAACGATTGCCACCGAAGAAAGATTAATGTTAAAAAGAACTTAAAGCGATAGGCCATGTAGGTGTATGCATTGATCTTCAGTAGTGTAGTGAGTATGTGTCGATCATCAATACCTTAGTTAGATTCCGCTCAGTGTGGATAAAAATCAAATAATTCTGATGAAAAATATCAGTCAGTTTAGGGGATCCCACTAATTAATGTAAATATACATTACAAAACCGGTTGGTGCGGTAGATTAAAATAAGAATATTTTAAACGTATCAAATTTCGGTTGAACGTGCGACCGTTATCAAACATACGATTTTGTAAATTTTTATGACTTACGGTTTATATCACGTTAACATGGAAACGCACGCCAAGAAAATAGCAAAAAAAAGGGGAAACTTTTTAACAAACTCACTAGGTTTTTACATTAAAACACGTTTTTTCGTAGGAAAAATCAAATTGGAGTAAAATATCTTAAGAATTATTCGGTAATATTAAATTTCATCTCATAATTTATTAGTTTGTAATAGTTTATTTCATATAAGAACTTTTGTGAATTTATAATGAAATATTTCATATGCACATATATATATATATATATATATATATA